GTCAGTGTGAACACAATAGAGTACGTCTCCCTTCGTTTTGAGTTGAGTTTGAGCCTTTCATGTTGGCAGCCAACCACTGGGTGTCCATCATGCACCCCTTAACAAAGCGAAAGCTCGTCAAATCATGTGTTGATAGGATATGAAGTGTGGCCAAGCCCACTGTCGTGCCATCCGAAGACTTTCAAAACCGCTCACTCGTGCGTGGGTTTGCATTTTATTTCTATGATTGCTGGCGACTGCAACTGACTTGTTATCTGCCGATTGCTCAGAGCCAGACCGATGGGTGCCCAAGTGTGCCAGGTGTTAGTCCCGGTCGTGTTCCTGCTCCTCGGGATAACAGGGATTCTACTGGTCGTCATCCGCACTGACGACATGAGGGAACCTCCACAGTTCACGGTAATAACGTCTGCACGGTATTCTCCGGTTTATCCACTTCCGCAAAAATGAAAGTATAGGCTGCACCTGGCTATTTGTTCACTATTGTTTTACGTGTAGCCTAGACCAAATTAATGCAAATAACTTTCGGAGAGCCCACTGTATAATTGTAATACAGGAGGTTTCAATATTCAAATAGCTTGCAAGATGCCTAACTGATCCCTTCAATTTTCTGCAATCCGGATTCAATGTATATTGTTTGGATGCATATTCGCTTAATCATTATGTTCTGTTATTTGGGGTAAAATGAATTGTCAAATGAACAATTAGTGACAGAAGAAAATCATAATTCCAGTGTATAGCCAATACAGATGTTTTTATGGTTGTCTACTGCCTTCGAGATTCATTTTGGTGTTCTGTTCATCAGAGTTCTTCATAACAGTTATTTTTAAGTGTTATATTTTTTTTAAATAAATAAATATTCTGTGATCCCCATGTTTTAGTTGGAGAATACTGTATATAAACAGTTTAAGCAGGGCCGGCCCTGACCAATATGGTGCCCTAGGCAAGATTTGAGCTGGTGCCCCCCTTGAAACGCAGCCAATTTGCATTTACATTTTTTCACTTGTTTGGTGCCCCTATATGGATGAAGAGCACCTAGCATTTTCCTATACCGCCTAGCTATGCCCGGAGTGGAAGCTAAATGGCAATATCAACTTAATTCCTATGAAACACATCTGTAAATGCAAATTCATTAACAGGAGCTTATATTGCTAGACTTTTGCAATCGATATAGGAAAAACAAGAAAAACGTCACTACAACTAGAGAATTATACCGGTATATGACATTACACAATTGCAAATTGACGCAATTTTGTTATCTATAGGCCTACCCTCTAAATTGCCTTAGGGCTGCCTTCGACCGAGATAATGTGGACTAGTCAGACGCTCAACAATTCAGATTACAAAGTAGGACTGATGATGATAACCTACAGACAGTAGATTTAAATATATGTCTATACTCAGACATTAATATCAAAATGAACATGCTACCTAGGTACTTTAGTTTACTCTGTGTAAAAATGAATTATTTTTAATAAACGACCATTTAGCTAATACACCTATCTCTTCTCTGTTGCATAAGATATGGCCTTTTCAAAATGTCGTATTCGTTTATGTCCTCTCTCATTGCCATCTCAAACCGCATTAGATGAGAGCCAGAGGGGCGAAGAGAAGACTCTTAGAGAAATAATATAAGTGAAGAAACTGCATTCAATTGAATTCTACAATCTGTAATGGTGTGCTTAAAAAACCTTGGCGAAGGATGGCACAACGTTTGTTGTTGTGTTATGGATGTTATTGATATTCTCTAGAACATTAACAGAAATAATTTAATTATAAAGTATTACTCATTTCTTTTTGAGACACCCTTGTGTTTATTTATTTTTTAAAGATACTGTATCTACATCGAGTGACAAGGGACGCTAGGGTGAATACACCACCTCTGAGTGGACTATTACAGTAATTCAGAAAAACAGGAAATACGCATTTTAAAAAGTAGAACAGTTATTTAGAATAGAGAGAAGAGAAGGTCACGCTGACATTATCATCTGAATGTTAACACACATCACCGAAGTACAGTTTTGGAAATGCAATGTACACATATATATTTTATATCAGCAACAAGTAAAAATAAAGTGGATGTACAACTGCCACCCACTTTTACAGGGTTGGTGTAAACAAAAAAGTATATAACCATGTAAGAGCCTTTATTTACACGAGCTAGCCTTACTGCCAAGTTGCAAACTAGAATCCACAAAGGATGATATGGCGCAAAAGACTGCAAAGAAACGTGAGTTCAGACATCAAACTGAGCATGACAATATGCAATAGGTTTTCTATTATAAATGCACAGTATAAAGATCCTTCAGTCCGATCATGCACAACAAAAGAGACAATAAATGAATGGATGGATGAACGAATGAATGGCCGGATTGATAGATTGAGCCAAACCATGCCACCACAAAGATTAGCTGCATACAGTGAATGGAAAGTCAAAACAGGTGTAGGACCAGGTGTAGTGTGATGGGGTTTGGCCTGGACCAATTTGAACCAATTAGCGAAGGATCTGCTGAAGATTGATCTTGAACATGAACACAGCGTGTCAATAAATCTACTGTCGCGTTCTGTCCTAATTGCAACCATGTTGTATGTTTGCTGTGCATCCATTTAGATATTTATATGACCAACAACTTGCTTTTCAGGTCCATATCATCATATATATTCCTCAACCCCCAAAAGCTCTGCCTATATGAATTTAACTTTTCTTCAGAGAATTATCCCAATTTATTTGATACTGGAACTGCTCACAACTTTTAGACCAAAATAGAATGAATAGATATTGTGTGGTCGAAATCATTCTAACTAAACTGGATGTTAAACTCTGCTAAATTCCTTTGAGGGGATGATAGATTTCTTTTATCTGTGGATGTGTGTTAAAAAAGATGGCCAGATGTTTAAGTTTCATTTGGTTTGAATACAGAAACACCTCGAATTGTGAAGCTGTTATGGGACATTTGTTTTCAATCACGCTTTCCACTTAAGATTTTGAAAACCCCTTACAGATGCAAGGATCTCTCTGATATAAGAAAACACTCTAGCCAGGAGATATGGCTTGTGTTTTTTTATGGGGATTATGTTTTTTCGCTCATTGTCGTTACTCCATATTTTCTTCCAACATGTTAGTAAACAGGATGTAATCCACTTATCCAGGGCTCTCATTTATAACCTAATGCATCGATGAGGTGAACAACTGCTTTACATCACACTGTGCCCATCATACATACGGCTTTTACATACATTTTCTAATCCAAATCACCGTGTTGTTCATCATGCGGCATATAGCGTTAGCTAGAGCTATTACTACACAAAGATAGTTTACAATAAGGCTGTTGTAAAAAGTATACTTTTGATACGACTATTTGTCTGGCAGCTAAGTTAGCTAGCTAATGCTAGCTTAGGGAAAGCAAGGGCGTGTAAGCAGAGCCAGATAAATTAGCTAAACTTACCTACTTAGATACTCTTTAATAACCTAGCCGTACCCTAGCATGGCTGTACTCTATTCACAATGTTGACAGTGAGACATTTGTCTTACTTGCCTTTACTTCCCTCTTGGGGAATCCGATCTAAACTGGATGCAGTTGATTGTCATCTTAATTAATGGTCCAATTTATAATAGCTGTCCACTCTACACTTGCCATATGTTGAGGGGATGAGTGAACTTTGCTCACTTGCAGTGTTGACATCACCTACAATTCAATGCAAATTTAAACACAGGTGGTCACATATCAGATACATATCATGTCAGATTCAATCAACACCCTACATTTTCTTAACTGGAACTTCAGACTCTCTATGTGGTGCAAAGCTGATTAGTTAATCACTCTCTCAATTGCTTGTGGAATGATATGTCGAATTCAAATTAGGCGGGAACAAATACAATTCATAGCAAAATTGGACACTTCCGGGGCATACTGCGATCTTTCCGACCATTGTATTGTAATGCAAATGCTCTCTTATTTTTATTATTGTATCAGACAGTAAAACAAAAACATTGTCAAAAAAAATTCTTCTTTGTGGCAACTTATATGGGAAACCCGGTAGTAGTATAACTGGTTATTTCAGCTTGTATTAGGATTTGGCGCAGACACTTGCTTCTGCAAAGGTTTCAAAGAATTGAATCCCAATATTAAAATCCACGGTTGCTTTCCGCTCATAACATATAGAAGCTGGTGGGACTCCTCATTTTATATATATATATATATATATATATTGAGCATCAGTTAATCACAATTAAATGCAAGCTATTGTTTGTCATGTTTTTTTGTAGTCATTTAAATACGTTTCTAAATAATTAAATACGTTCCATTTAGTAAAGTAACAAGTCTTATTCTTGGAAACTCAAAACAAATGTGGTTATTCGCATATCTTCCAGAGGTGATACAAAGCGTCATTAACACAGCAATACAAATACAATAGAGGTGCACAATGTGGATCTGAATAGTCTGGTTAAATGTAATTACTCATAGACGTCAGAGACAGCAGTTTAAGTTATTGGTATGGAAAGCCAGCATTGAGAACATTTGACTAATACTCCTTGCCTGTTCATTTGTTCAGTTACTGACTTGCTCTGCTTATGACATGCAGAATCTTGTCTTATAGCTCCAGTGTCAGACCATTCAGCTGGGATTTTTTTAACCAAGCCCAAGCTCAAAGGGAATTATAAAGGAGGAGATCAAAGACCTGAAAATAAAGGGCAAGAATAAAAGCTAGAGAATAAAGCATCCCCAGTTTGCCATTGCCCCTCATGGTCATGTTTATCCTTGGTCTTTTCATGTCCTTATTAAGTGAACTGAACTTTGATTTTGAAATAATAGAAGGGGAATTCTTGGATTTTCAGGATTACTTTTCTTTGGTTGTGTCTTAGTTGTTTAGCATATACACTTATCCAGAGCGCTTGGTGGCACAACAACACAATACAGTCAAGTTAGTGTTGACCTAATAAAGTACCTAATGACGAATATCCAAATCAACTTTCCGTAGTGAGTGCATTGATTTTCTTCCCCGCTTTCCAGTAGGAATCCGACCCACAACCCTGGCATTGTAAGTGCCATGCCCTACAAACTAAGCTACACAAAACCATATTGGGATAGATGTTACTTGATTCCGTATTACTTTTATCTCTGACAGCCTGACTCTGGCTAATTGTTCTGTTTCAGTATGGAGTTGTCCTGGACGCAGGCTCGTCACACACTGCAATGTACATCTACAAGTGGCCGTCTGACAAACAAAATGGCACTGGCATTGTCACTCAGCACAGCGAATGTCATGTCAAAGGTAAGCTCAGTCAAGTCTATGCCTGGCAGGTCATGACATCTTCTGAAGAAAAACTGTCATTTTCATTTCTGTCCTTCTCTATAAAAGTAATTGTCTGTACATTCCAGGAAAATGTAGCTTTTTCAGAATATTGCTCAAACCGGTAAATCAACCGAGTTGTCCGGTTCCTGTTCCAGTGACATGAAGACCATGACCTCCCCATTTCTTCCTCTATTCCATTGATTTGGTTTCGGTTGGACAGACAAACCATATCACTTTGTCACGAGTCACGACACTTTGTCACGATAGTGGAATAAAGAGAGGAGCCAGGCACAGGATGCCAGCACTTTTAATATAAAGACCTATTCTTGTAATTCATGTTTTGATTTCTCTTTAATATATTCTGAATATGCTATTTTCCCCCGCCCAGGTGAAGGGATATCCAGTTACGCAGGGCAGAAGGGGGGTGCTGGACAAAGCCTGGAACCCTGTTTGAAACAGGCTTTGAAGGAGATCCCAAATACTAGACACCACCTCACCCCACTGTATCTGGGAGCCACAGCGGGTATGAGGCTACTGAAGTGAGTGAAGAAGCACAAATGTAACGTTAAATGTGCCTTTAGATCAGAAGTGCAGTGTAATAACATTGGTTTTGTCTCTGACCAGAGAATGGCTTTGTCACTGTAAAGCGCTTCGGATAAAAGCGCTATATATAAAAGCGCAGCATTTACAGAGATGTGTAAAATGTACTCAGTAGCGAGTGATAATTTAGGATTTAATTTAAGATTTGTATTGATTTCTTTTTAAACTTTAGAACAACTGCTGTCCAGTATGTATGAAACAAACATTTCACATCAAACAAAGCACATTAATTGCATGTGCAGGCACAATAAGCTGTTTTATATCTCTATATAGTACTAGAACACACTTACCCATTTATATGAAGGGGTCTAACGCAGGGGTCTAGAACAACAAAAACTAGGAAACTTAATCCTCAACATAATATGCCTGCTGGTCATAGAGGGAAACAGTTGCGACACTTACATGCCATTAAATATATTACAAATATATTAACAGAGTAGTTCACTCATTAGACAGGTTTTCAGTGGTGCGACTATGAACTCATTTGTGAGACGAGTATAGCAAAGCAAAGGGACACTGTCCCAAGACCGCCGTCTGGTACCTTCACTTTTTTTATCTTTCCCCACAGTATAACCAACCCCACTCACTCAGAGGAGATACTGAAGGAAGTAGGCAGCACATTACGCACCTATCCATTTGACTTCAGGGGTGCCACCATATTGAGTGGACAGGAGGAGGGGGCATATGGCTGGGTCACTGTCAACTACCTGTTGGAGAACTTCATCAAGGTGACGTTTTACAGCCAGCATTAGAGCTATTAAATCACACACTGGGATGAACGTGAAAAAGTGTTGGCCACTTGAAAATTAATGAATGTTGTTTGCATTCCATTAATATCTCCAGACCAACTAGCCCTCCTTTATATAATCCTTCTTAACCTTTCTTCTCTCAGTATGGCTTTGTGGGGCGTTGGCTGAGTCCAGGCAGAGATACAGTGGGCGCGTTGGACTTCGGGGGCGCTTCCACTCAGATTAGCTTTGAGACCTCAGATGTGGTGGAGGACAAGGATAAGGTGATGGAGCTGCGTCTCTATGGCCGAGACTACCATCTTTACACACATAGCTTCCTGTGCTATGGCCGAGACCAGGTCTTACTGAGACTGCTTGCTCACTTGATCAAGGTAACAATCATTCTCCAATATTACACATGGATCCATAGAGTACTGTTAGGTTACACAGTGTATGTAGTAGGGCTAATTAAGTAATTAATTGCAATTTTGCCAATATTGCAGTTGGGATTTAATATGCAATTATAGTAATATAGTAATTTAAGCTCTTTATCTTCTGTATGTTCTGCAACAAAGCCAAGCAATACATTATTGTATAGTAGGTGTCATAAATAGGCTTCAGGCAGGCAACAGGTAGGACACAGGCCCAGAGATTCTCAATAACAAAAAAGGCTTTATTCTTCAGACCAGGCAAGACAGGCACTAGTTCTGAGAACTGTGAAACATAAAACAAAACATCTAGAACCCGAAACCAAAACACAAACACAAACAAGTACTAAGACAACCGTAGCAACAAACAAACATACCTGTGAAACAATGCCTAATGCATAATTCAAAGTCACTCTATTAAACATATGATAAGTAAACATGTGGATCACATCTTTTAAACATTGTATCTGAACTTTTCTAGAGAGTCTTTAAATAAGTGAATAAATATATGTTGTCTTACTGATCTCTAGTCAGTAACCAAACATAACCGATTAATAAGGTAGCAGTTGGGTTGCAGCAGTAGCATGGCAGGTCTTGCACAATACCTGATTATTTTTTAAAGTCAATAAAATTCCCTCACAACTGACATACACTGTTCCTCGTTCATAAAGTTTCCCTTGTGTCAAGAACCAATCAAGCCTAAGGCCATTGTAAAAAAATAAAAAAATAAAAAAAAAGTATTGCTACCTTTGTGGTTCAAATATTTTGTTTTATCACAATATTATGGCAAATACAATTAATCGTTACTTGCTGTACTTCCCAGGAGGATCATGGATACAAATGTATGTGCTTTGTCCCCTCTGTCTCTCAGACTCAAGGCACTGAGTCCCATGTAGTGTCACACCCTTGCTACCCTGCAGATTTCAATGTCTCCATGATACTGAAAAAGGTATTTGACTCGCCGTGCACGGCAAAACAACGGCCGGTTCCCTACAACCCCCAGGACTCCCTGACCATGATGGGAACTGGGAATTACCAGCAATGTCTGGGCAACGTGTCACAGATCTTCTCGTTTGAGGAGTGCAAATTCTCCAACTGCTCTTTTGATGGAGTCTTTCAGCCCAAAGTCAGTGGCAGCTTTATGGTGAGTTCATTTCCCGTTGCAGGAAACGCCATGTAGGATCAATCAAAATATTCTGAATATTTTCGATATTTCATTCAATACTTCTAACATTCATTCAATACTCCTAATATTTCTTTATATACTCTGGTACAGGTGATTTAAAATTTGAAAAACTGATTAAGTCATTTTCTGTCTATAATTTTTTTTACTGGCTTACTGTCACTAGGGTTGTTCTGTTTGTATTCATAGTCTTGGACAATATCAGCCAAATATAGATGAACAGCACAAAGCCTCATCTGTATATTGCTCTGATGTCAAGAAACATTTTATGTATTTTTCTCTCCACAGGCCTTTTCCGCTTTCTTCTACACTCATGTCTTCCTTCAGCGCACAACTGGTATAACTGTCACAACACCTGATCTACTGAAGGAAGCTGCCCACTCTGTCTGCAACATGAGCTATCAGGAGGTACTGTCGAACTGTGGGGATTGTCTGACTGGCTCTGGCTATTCTTAGGCCATTTATCCAATTTACTATAGTGGCAACAATGGTTGTCTTACCATAAAGCACATTCACACATTTTTGCTGTAAAGCGAATCTCACATTACAGCCGCCAAAGGAAATAACATTAGCGGGTTGATGTACTTCCGTGTTATACCATTGGAAGGAAAGATCCAACTCTTTGGCTGTGAAAGTGAACCTTAATTACATTCCCTAGAGGGCAGCTCTAGATTCTTTTTATCTAAAGCTAAGCAGACATGATCTAATATTTAGAGTATACAATGGCATTACTGGTATTTGGGCGGCTTTCCGTGCCCTTCCTTCTGTTACTTGAATCTTTTATTATTAGATACAAGTAAGACATTAGAAAACAAAGTAAGAATAATTCTGAGGAATCATTATTTCTTTATTTTTTATAACACTAACTGAACAGATGCTATTGATAGCCCCGGAACAGAAAGGTCGTCTAAAGGATTACTGTCCAGCATCAGTTTTCATACAGGTCCTTATGCTCCAAGGCTACGGCTTCGATGACCTCTCTTTCCCTCGCATCTCTTTTAAGAAAAAGGTGAACACGGCAAAGCGAAACATAAATTCTTAACTCTATTTAATTGAAAGAAAAGTAATTTTAAAAAAAAATGTCACTTATCTCGTCATTTTATGCTTAGGCTTTCAAATGTGTTTGTTGTTGTTTTTTGTGCAGGCAGGAGACACCTCAATCGGCTGGGCGCTAGGATATATGCTAAGCCTGAGCAGTCTGTTGCCAGAAGAGACAATAGAACTGAGGAAGGCTATGCGCCTTGAGGCCTGGACTGGTCTTATCTTGCTTTTTGTCCTCCTCATCCTTATTGGGACTGGATGTCTTCTTCAGAAGACCTACCAAAAGAAGAAGGGCGGTGATAGTGTTATATAAGAGCCATTTTGCTCATGTTTTCCTAGGTTAGAATGACCTTATCCGTCTGAATTATGCACTTAGCAGTTCTCAAGATGTAATCATTCCAATGTTACATATTTCATAGGCTACAAGAAAAAGGCATATATTAATAATCTACAAAGAGATGTAGAATACATTTAGGTCAGATATTTTGGTTCAATCTTCGACAATATGTTTTGATTAGGGGTTATGTCATTTGATGGCATGCACTGGTTAGCAGACATGAGTCATAATCCCCTTTTTTAGACTTCATGTTGACTCAGGACTTTGTTCTTTGTGTTTGTGCGCATGTTTCTTTGCCAGCATGTCATGTATTTACATGTAAACTATCTTTACAGCTTTTCTTCTTGTTGATAATCTGTGATTTTGAATTGCAAAAAACAAACAAAAACTGAACAAAATAATAAAAATCCATTGTAAAGAAAATCTGTTGTAATTCCTGAAATTAGTAGTCATTTTAAATGATT